CTTGCGTCCAATTTTCATTTCGCAAACGAGGTATTCTCTCAACGTGAATGATAAACAGTTGTGTAAGAGTGTGGGAAAACAAGTGTGGGTGCCCTGTTATGAAGGATGAGGACATACTTGGCAATGGAGAGGCTATTTTCAGTAGCTTTATGACCTTGAATTACCGCAGAAAAAATTGCATGAACACAGCAGGCAACGGTTGCTAGTCATTCAGAAGTTGAAGTCCCAAAATCATTCAAGATCATGATAAGTGGCAAAGGTACGGGTTTCAATGAAATCCGCCTGGAAATCTGAATGCGTCAGGCGGACTAGGCATGCTATGGCTAATACGTATGCGTCAAACTGCAACGGTTACTGGGCAGAGGCCAATAGATTAGAGAAAAACGATTACGGTATCGCTGTTCAAGGAGGGAGAACATTAAAATGTGCTTCAATTTTCGAGATATTGCCAAATTCAGCCTCCTGGAGAAAGTCTACACAAAGTTGCTAGAAAGAAGATGCTAAGTTTTGACTGTGGTACTCAAATCAAGGCAGATGTAGACTGTAGAGAAATCATGGTAATTCATGATCCGGTCACCATGTGCTCTGTGTACCGAGAAAGGGTCGGACCGGATCACTTGCAACAATCGATGGGCGGGCCTGCAAACATATTGGGTCGTAGGCCAGCTGCTACGGATGATCAGTCACTGCATGCTGATAGCAAGGACTGTGTTAGAGTAAATGACGTTAAGTCCATATCACAACGTTGACACTGATCTCCGCCACAGCTGCGTTCTGTTTCCTCTCCTGTTTGTGTTGTGCGCGAATAGAACAGTGAAGTGCAGGGAGAAACTTCTAAAACTGACCTCTTATGCTGTTTTGAAAACCACGCAGCTGAGTACGACGTAGCCGGCATACATATAAGCTTGTCTGACGGGCGAGCCTTGCGCTTTCTCATTTTACTACCCGCTCACTTCTTCAGATAAACGGAGAAGTAGTAATCCATGAACAATTGGATTTGGGGTACTAGGTTTGCTTTGGGGTCATGTTAACTGGTGATGATATATAGAAGGAAGAGGTCAGTCGTCGAACTGGAATGGCCACTGGCACTCTACTTGAACTAGCTCCAACAGTTTTGAATAAACTGATCAACTGAGTCTGAAGCCTAAGGTGGCTTCATGAAGTCGATCTTAATTCCTAACTCTCTTACGGTGATGATTTGAGCTCCATATTGAAAAAATTTGTCCCTGGGTACTTGCGGCTGAACGGACATTCGTAGTCGAATCGTTGGGATTACGCGTATAGGCATCGTCCAGAGTGCGAATATCCAAGGCAGCCTTAGTGTGCTTCTGTTTTTCCATGTAGATAAGTCATAGCTGCGATAGTTTTTACAGGTATTGCGAATGCGTTCTGAAAAGAAAGCTAAGCAGGTGCTTCATTCCCAACCAACCTGCTGAAAATTTTAGGGAGGACCATAACCTGTTACAAGTGTATAGAACGTTTCTACTTCAGACCGAGGTCATCTCCTACCGAGCACTGGCTTAGGATCGAAAATGTTAGCAACGCTCGGTGAGGGGTCCGCAACTCTGAGCAGAAAGGATAAGCGGTCATGAAAACTGACTGGCTGACGAGACTGTTGGTGAGTTATATTGCTGAAATCGTAATCCCAAAATTATGCTATACTATATAGCACACTGGTGCTTCACGCTTTACCGAATGGAAACTGATATATACCTGCGCATAAATGTTCACAGTTTCTGCAAATTTTATCTGTCTATGTGATCATTTGAACGTGATTCGCCGAATATTAGCAATTACTTTTTTGTACCACATGTTGCTCAGAGTAGAAGTAAAATTAATGATGTGTACTTGAAAATTTGACAAGTTAATACTGTAGTCTCCATTTTGCCTTTCTCGTACATATCTCATTATCGTAATCGGTTTCGTATTTAAATTGGAAAACATTTTGAGGTATTAAAGCTTTTACTTTAAAATCACAGAAACACTAGTTGTGTAAAAGTCATTAATTTGAATTCATTTTGTATATAGCTTACTCTCATGAGTATTTGCATTGTCTGATGCGAATGCGTTTGAATTAGTTGATTGTATTTGTCGTATTCGTTTAAGGTTAACAAATGTTGAAAAGCAGTCTGTTGCAAGTTTGTGATGTTTGATCATATGAAATGGCATCTCAGATTAAAGCCCGGTAATAGATTACTGCTGCTAAGGTTATTTTCCTCGTCGCAGGTTGGTCTGCTTCATTTGTGTTAGTTGCTGTATTGTGTGTATTGTAATGTTATACTCATGTGATGTAGTATTTCAGTAAAGCACATTACTTGTTAATGAAAATCAAACGGATGGTCATATACTCAAAATCATAGTGTTGTGTTTTGTAATGATGGTTCATAATTTTTTTGTTCGGTCGAACCGCCGTCTCTTAGGTAGTTTAAACTATTTTGGTATTGTATTCGTTATGATCTAAATTTGTCGATTGGTTGCCCGTTTTTAGTGCAAAATTTTCTAAACAATGAATGATAGTCGCCTTTAACTTGATTATAGTTATTGTTTAGTTATGAGAAAGTGATGCAGTGACATGTTAGTCCTGTAAAAAGATTCTTTGGCTTTGGAGCCCTAGTGAAGACTGCCTGAAGTAAACATTGATAAACCGATGGAGAATCAGAAAGTTAAAGCGATCAGAACAAATGCCTGGCTAGCGACGAACGCTGCTTTATATTTTAATAAATTCATTTCAGTGACTATATTATCATGAAGAGAAGTCACTCTCAAAAATTGGATGTAGAGGTTTCGTAATTATATATTTTGTTCTTTTCCCTGCCCAAAAATTGCGTCCGCATCACCGATTTGGATCTCTCTGAAGTCACATATGTACTCTGTATGCATAAGGTGACGAGATCTACACTGTGATGAAAATGGGGACATGAAAAAGTGCGGCATTACCAAGATTTCACATTTTCGTAATCGTTTTAAAATTATTTTGTTACCTTCACCTGTCTTGGCCAGAAAAGCTGTTGATGGCATAATTATGTCCATGTAAACTATCAGTAGAATTGAATGTCTTCGAAAGTACAATAATTTTCGGAGCCTACATCTTATGCTACTACGTTCTGTGTACCTTACATTTTATACAAGCCCATGTACATCATCATTGCAGGAGTGACCACTGACCGAACCGATAAACAGTGGGACTTCAAGACGAAAACTGGTCTTTTGACTTTGATGGTTTTTTACTATAACCATTGAACTTACATGACTATTTTTAACTGATTCTCACTGAATCGGTATGACTGTCTGACTATATAAATAATTTGTCACAATTTATGATCATATCACTTTCTCTTTTCAGTTTCGTAATGATAGCCCGTTTCGTTTCAGTTGAAACTTCGGTTATTTGTTGTATAAACATATTTTTGTCTTTTGTACTACTAACCATGGAATCGCAAAGTGTATTTTTGTACCGCTTCCAGTTTTATTATGCATCTCTGAATTTCAGTTTATTTAAATAACTGCCCGCGGAACAACTCGCACTGACTCGTTTTACTTTATTCCTTCGCTAAAATATTTACTTTATTTTTTATCATGTGATCAAATTTCTTAAGACTTCGTTGGATTTTGGCAGTAATGGTATAATTACATTTCTCAGTCCGTGTCATCTTTCGTATCGATATATAACGCTGACTCATTGCACTTTCTTTCCTAAACCAAATGTATCTTTAAATCAGTTGTGATTTTGCCATAGTGGAATATGATGTCACTGTTTATCCTGTGTG